TCTATCTATCTATCTATCTATCTATCTATCTATCTATCTATCTATCTATTGGCACAAACATAGTATTAAATCTCCTTCTAAATATTTATCTTTATACCCACAAACTACTGCCACTGTCAGACTTCACCAAAGAAGTTCTCTTTGTTTTCTTTCTTCAGCAGATAGTGATTGATAACTGGTCAAAGGGCAGAGAATAAATAACTAGAGAGTTCTCAGTCCTAAACAGGGCATTTATATCACGTAACCTTCCCCCAAAGATTAAGGCAACTATGCAGAGGACAGGTTGACAGATTGTACGAGCCAAAGGTTGGGGAGGGAGACCTTCTGCAAAAATAGTTTCCTCACCATTACACTCATGAATTCACAGCAGCTGTCGTTGCCAGTACAAGACCTGCACAAGAGCGAGCCGCTCAACCCTCTAACATGGATGAGAGAGCACAAACCTAGCTGAGGAGCCTTTGGCAGTTGATGGCTGCTGAGGTAGGAACAGTCAATTATCTTCAATGCTGAGGTAGGGATGTTGATACTGGGGAATTGGAAGAAGGGAGTGGGTGTGGATATATTAAAGTATAATGTATGCATGCATTTAAATATCAAGGAACCAATAAAAAGATTATTTCATTATTAAATCAATATATCAAGTATCTAAACTTTAGAGTATAAAAATTTAACATTTAACACAAAAATGTTGGTTTTTTACATTAGTTGGAGGTTACCTAGATTGTGTGTGTGTGTGTTTGTGTGTGTGTGTGTGTGTGTGCGCGCCATATGTGTGGAGGTCATATATTAACATTGGGTGTCTTCCACAGCGGTGATTCACCTTACTTTTTCAGGCAGGGTCTTTTGACGAACCTGACTGGTGATAGTGTCTCAGGATCCTCCAGTCTCTCCTTGCAGCGCTGGGATTATGGGGGTGCCTGCATACATAGCTTTCTATTAGCGACTTGACTCACGTGGGAGTTAGGAACTTAAACTCAGGTCCTCATGCTTTCCCAGCAAACGCTTTTCTAACTCAGCCATTTCTGCAGCGCCAAGCTGACCTATTTCTTCTTCTTTTAGATTTTATGATGCTCTTTTCTCCTGCAAGGTGTAAGCTAATTAAAATTAAAACTCATTACTGATTTTAGTGGCAGAAGAAAAGTATATTATACATCTGCCTTAGGGAGCAGTTACAAACTAGGGTACTTCTAAGCTACTTTGAAGATCAGTGTTTTCACCTTCTCGCTGGGGGCTTGTAATTCTGCAGAACTCTTTCTCTTCCTCCCCTGGAAGTAAAACTACAAGGTCACCATTTTCCCTCTTTTGGTAGTGGAAAGACAGTCACTGTGTGTTCTGCTTAGCACAAGGGATTGCTGAAAGGCTGATTTCTGAATTAGTCCTCCTGCCATAAAACGTGGCACTAAGATTTCCTCATGGCTGGGGATGATAAGAATGCTTTATAATTCAAAGTCTTATCTTTTTAAGAATACATGGTTTGTATTAGATCAGATTATTTAAAACATTTTGCCAGTTACCGAAATTAGATTCTCCCATTACTGACAAAATTGTAATAAGTTATAAAAAGTTTTTAAAAACGAATTTCTTCAACAAATTATGCAGGAAATCAAGTTTTGTCTCTTAAAACCAATTAGAATGACATTGTACGTATGCCAGTACTATTCCAGAGAAGATCTATTCACTAGTATATATCTTATATAGGAAAACAAAAGTGCTCTGAAATCGGGGAATATGGCCATTAGGCAGTACTAAGTTTGATTTATTATATTAGAATCAATGTCACTCCTGTTTCTTTAACAGTATACAGGACTAACTAATTTTTTTCATAGATTTCACAGGCTAGAATAGCTATTTTAGAAGTTCTGAATTGGATTTCAAGGAGAGCTTACAGGTCAATTAGTAAACAGTTTGTTCTTAGCAGTCAACAGTTTTATGAATTTGACTACAAGAGTGAATGAGAGTGAGAAAAAGCAGAAAAGGAGCTAGAAAGGCAAAATTTATTCACCCAGGTGAGAACTGCATAAAAAAATTACTAACTCTATTTAGTTGAAGATACTCATTCCTTCTCGGGGCTTTAAAATAGATCCAGACCCTCCCAAGGCTCACACAGGTGATTTTCATGACTTCTTAAGTTTCTGGAAGATTTTAATTCTCTGAGACACACGAAATTCCCAACAGATATTTGCTTTTATATGACATCGGGAGTATCATGTGTAGACTACTTCGGGAGAACTCCCCTCCCCAAAGCATCTTTTTCTAGGAGTATGGGGGTGATGGAATGGAAAAGCAAGAATGAATATAGAAATAGCAAATCACAAACACTCATGAAAATATGTGAAAAAAGACTAAATCTGTTCATATAAAAGCTTCCCTGTGTGCGTGTGTGTTCACGTATGTGCATGTCTCATGTGCATGTATGTATGCATGTATGTTTGTACACATGTATACGTGCAGGCGAATGTATGTGTGTGCACGCATAGATATGTGCATACCGTGTGTGTGCATGCATATATTGGTGTGCGCATATAAGTCTATGTGTGTTTGCATGAGGCATGTATATGTACACATGCCTGTGTGTGCGTGTATGCGTTGTGCATGTGAGTGCGTGTTGAGAAAGCACATATCTCACTGAGACATAGGGGGGTGCCCTTGAGAGCTGCAGTTTAAGAATGATTAAGAGAAGCAGGTGGTAAGACAATGAAAGAGTGTGGCTTGACCCTGTCCTTGGACCTTGGACTGTCATGCAGCTCCTGGAGATATTCTCAGCACACTTTTCTCAGGAAAAGCAGTGCAGTCTATCTGTAGTGTTATAAATACCACACGTGAATACTTTTGAACTTTATAACAGAGGTTTCCAGTCTTCCTAACGCTGCAACCTTTTAGTAGAGTTCCTGAGGCTGTGGCGACCCCAACCATAAAATTATTTCATTGTTACTTCATGGCTATTGTTCTGATACTGTTATTAATCATAATGTAGGCATCTGATATGTAGGATATCTGATATGTGATCTCCAAAGAGGGTTACAGTCAACAGGTTGAGAACCACTGTTATATAGGACACTGAGTATAAATGATTGTAATAATTCAAATGTTATACTTGTGAAGTTCACTCGGTGTTGGTTTGCCTTCCTACCCAGCAACATTGAAGCTGTGAAAAAGCAGTACCAAGGCTGAGTCTGCATCACTACCATTGGGATAACGGTTTCCATAATCACCTGGGAGACTATTCATCATTGCTTTACCGAGACACGATCTCTTGGTTCAGTGTTGCAGAACAGCATACCTGGGTATGTAATCTATAATCTATAGGAAAGAAATTTCAATGCTCTGGAGGTTGGGAAATTTAATATCAAATAGCAGGATAGATGATTGCTCTAGATATGAGGATTGCTGCCTCCTTGTATCGTGGAAGAACAAGGGACCAAATGCTGTGTGAATTCTCTTCTAAAAAGGTTTGATTCCCCTGCCTTCATGACCTAATTACCTCTTGTATGTGTGCTTCATGTGAAAGCCCAGACGTTAGCAGCGGAGTTCTTCCTCAGTTGTTTTCTACCTTGCTGTTGAAACAGGACCCCTCCTTGAAGTTGGAGCTCATGGATTCATTAGACTGTCCACCACGCCTTGGGCATCCTCATCTGTTTGCCTCTCCAGCACTGAAGTCATGGGCACATACCCTCATGTCCTTCCTTTTCTGTGGGTGGTTGAGATCTGAACTCTGGTCCTCATGCTTATACAGCAAGCATTTAGATCTGTTTTCGACCCACTGAGCCACGCCATCAACATCTTAGTCTAGTTATCTCTTAGTAGGTTTACCTCTTAGTTCTGTCAGTACTGGCAACATTAGAACTTTGGATAAGATCCATTCAGGTCATATCAAATCTCTATCTCACGATAAAACTGAATTTTAAAGAATCTGATTTAGGTGTATTTTTTAAACTACCCCTAAAGCATATAACCACATTAGTTTGATTACATGGCATAAATGTAAAAATGGGAAAAGCAGAGAAGGCAAGAATGACAGGGAAAGAGAAATGAGTAACAGCATACAATAGGAGAGGGGACATAGAAAATTAATAATTAATAATTTAATACAATTTTCCCTTTTATCAAGCATAAGGAAGGATGGCCAGTTAAAGATAGCCACACATTCCTTGACAGCACTTCCACTGAGAAGTCAAAATGAATTGTCCTACCTTGACACCTGTGCTTGCTTTAATAAAAACAGTGTAGCATTTTAGAACTAAGCCTGGGATCTAATGGACGTTCTGTCCCAGGCTTCAGAACACTACATGTGGGGAATCTGAATACCATGAGGCTGTTATACTAAGATGAAACCAATGATAACCTATATAAGAGGCAATTTCAGTTATGTCAGCTCTCATCTCAGGCATCACACAGTGAGCATATGAGCACAGGCAAGGAAACCATCATAGTGTAGGTGGTCCACAAAACACATGATGCAGATAAGACTCCAGGATCTGAACCAGTATCCAGAAGGGAGGCTCAGAAGCACCACCATAGTCAAATTATTCTCTAACCTTTAAAAACATCTGCACCGAGTCCTGGTGCTTAAAACAAATGAGCAAAGGAACAAACAAGCGAACAAATACGCTTATCCGGTTATGTTGTGATCTCGTTCCTGACCCGTACAGCACAAGCTTAAACCACCTGTATTATTTTACATCTCCAGACTCTAGGGATATTTGTTATAGATATGCTATTATGAAAACTGAGGTAAGTATGTGGACATCAAGACTTGCCACACAAACAAGTACAGAAAAAAACAGAAAGTCAGTTATGAAATATCTGACATATTACTTTTTTTTAAACAGTCAAAAACATTTAATATATCATTACCAAGGCAAACTCATGAGATATCCTTCCATCTGGAGGCAGCTTTGCACCAAAACCAAGGGCTGGGAACATCTTATCGCTGTCATAATCTTGAACGATTTCCCCAACAGCCTTCAGTGCCATGCCATAGGCATTCAGTTGGTACGGGTTCATGTAGTGGAGAGAAGTAGGCTGGGCAGGGTTTCCTAATGACAGAAAATGTGTTAAAAACGTAAGCAGGCCAGGCTACAGAATTCTAACAGTGCTGTACCTTTGTTTATTTCAGTTTCAAATACTCAAAATTATCATTTTCTGCCTATTCTCACCAAGCATCTTTGTCCAGGCCTGGATGTTCATGTGACATCATTGGTACTTTCTCTTCTATGACTCTCACATGACTCTCCTGAATTCACTCTCCTCTTTTAGTTATGTACAGCAAACACTGTTTCTTGTCTCTTTTGGCTCTTCTCATCTTTCTTTTTCCCTGTCCCTGTGTCTCTTTTGTTATATTCCACAAAACTGGCAACTGAAAAACTAACCCTCAACTCCCTGATTCTGTGACCTTGTCTGAATCTGCCCTGTGCCTTCAACAATGCCTACGAAGATTGAAATGCTATTTGCTGAATGGCCTTGAACTTAACTAGTGGCAGCAATGACTACAATAACAAGGAATCTATTACAGACTGGACATTTGACTTCATAACTCACAAGCCTTTCAGCAAGTTCTTTCCACAATTTGACTTTTAGCTACTGTGCTTCTAAGAATACATGTTTTCTTACTGCATGATTCCATTTCTCTGGACATATATCTTGGAGTAAAATTTCTGATTTATGTGATGACTCTGAGTATTACAATTTGAGTAACTGTCAAACTGTTTAGCTGTCCTAAAATTCATCAGGAGAACAATGAGTTATTTCAACCAGCCGGACTTAAGCTGAGCTAATTGCATGGGCCATATTTGCTAGACACAAGTCAAGATCACTATCCAAAGACATAATGCTGAAGAATAAATTTTAACACACAACAAAAAGCGATCTGGTAGAATAATGGCCTTATTAACTGTAGTTCCAGCTCCACTATGAATAAACTGACATGTGTTATTAGTAAAATGTTTTGTAGAACCAGGATTTGCTCAACTGTGTATGAGGAAGGTTGGATTTGGGTGCTTTTTGAGTGGTGAATTGTTCCTAAAAGCCTTATCTGTGAAATGTGGGTCAACATAAGAGAAGCATAAAGAGATGATATGAGAGCTGTGGACACTATGAGTACTTAGAAAAAGAAATCTACAGAGGCTCCTCAACATGCACTAGAGCATTGTCTTGGCTTGTTGTATGTCAGCTTGACATGAGTTGCAGTCCTCTGAGAGCCAGGAGCCCCAACTGAGAAAATGCCTCCATAAGATTTGGCTGTAGCCAAGCCTTTATGGCATTTTCTTAATTAGTAGCTGATACGGGAGGGCCCAGCCCATTGTGGATGGACACACTCCTGGGATGGTGCTATCAATAAAAGCAGGCTGATCACCGGGCAGTACTAGTGCATGCTTTTAATCTTAGCACTCAGAAGGCAGAGGCAGGAGGATCTCTGAGTTTGAGGCCAGCATGGTCTACAAAGTGGGTTCCAGGACAGCCAGGGTTATACAGAGAAACCCTGTCTTGGAACACCCCCCTCAAAAAAAAAAAAAAAAAAGGAAGAAGAAAGAAAGAAACCAGGCTGATCAGGCACGGGGAACAATCCATTAAGCAGCACCCCTCAGTGCCCTCTGAATCACCCCCTGCCTCCAGGTACCTGCCCTGTTTGAGTTCCTGTCCTGACTGCCTCCAATGATGAACTGTGATGTGGAAGAACAAGCCAAATAAACCATTTCCTTCCCAGTTTGTTTTGGTGATGGTGTTTCCTCACAGCAACAGTAACCATAACTAAGATAAGCATTGTCGTATAAACCCAGCGGAGGCTGAAGATACTGCAAATCAGAAGTACACTTAAAATTCCTAATCCTGTAGGGTAGCTCAGTGACTCCAAATTCCATGGGGCATCAGTTTTTCTCTGTGACTATATAACCTAGGGAGCTATATCTTGCTGCTGCTGCTGCTGTTTGATGCCACTAGTTCAGAAAGAAGATCACTTGAAAAATTCTGAGCACAGCTTCTAATGAAGCTGCACTGCCTTCTGGCCTTGTAAGGTTGAATTTTTCTAACTATTGTAGTTTGGAAACCACCTTTAGGCAAGTATAAACTAGTGGCAACTTATGGCAAAATTAAATAATTAGGGCTTGCAAGCGGTTAACGGTACTTGGTGTATAAGCCCTGATCTCACAGCAGAATGACAGAATGACCTCCAAATATTGTCTTCTAACCTGTATACACGGGCTGTGATGCATACCCACTCTCCCTCATACGTGTCTGTCATCCACATGCACACAAACGAATAGTAATAGACAAAGTAAAATCTGAAGCGATAATAAGGAGGTTCTTCTTTTTAGGATATAACTGATTCAAATAGTCATTCCATTCAAAATAAACTTGGTTCAAGATGTAATTACATTTCCATTACTTTTCCTCCTTAAAATATTTTTACATGAGTCATTAATGTCCACACCAAAGATTATACATCAGTCCTTTTTAATGAAATAGATGTAAAGATGTTAATAAGAGAGTAAAAAATGTGATTGAAGTAAGTACACAGGAGTAAGTACACAGAGTCTGATAGAGGCTTAATGGGGGCTATAATTAGATACACTTCAGAAAATAGTTCAGATACACAATGGGCTTAACTACATCTAAAATCACCATTCCTTTGAAAGAAATGTGAGATAATAAAATGGCTCAGCAGGAAATTAATCTCTTGTATATTTTATTTTATTTTTTATTATATTTCTTATACATATATAGACAGTCGTGGAATGTTAAAAATAAAGACAAAATAGTATGAATTTTTAGTGAAAATAAAAATTTGTCACTTCCTTGGGACATTTCTCAGAGAGCAGGGGTAGCACTCACCGTTTGATGCTGTAAAATCAATAGCCACCGTGAAGTTGATCTGTGTTCTAGAATACAAGCAAATAAGAGTCATTGAGTAAGTGATTGCACCAAGGAGATTATTGTCTATTTTTTTGGTCACACTTCCAATGTCACAAATTTTCTTACATGTTAAAATCGAACAAATATAGCATATATTAGACAGCATTAAATAGATTCACTAGGTGTGTTAGAATTAGCTTAGCTGTCATATTACTATAGGGTAAAAACAGTGCTTTGTTTAGAGTAGCTTGGTTTTGAGCTCAGCAACCACACAAGTGGCTGGGCAGAGTCTATACAGGCAGGTGTGAGGTTCAAGTCTGGCACTCACCATTAACTGCTTCGTTCAAAACCTCGGTAAACCTACTCAATCACACTGTAACACTATAACACCTCTACAACCCGGAAGACAGCCCTTCCTCTATGTTTCTGAAAACTGAATAGCTCAAGTGGCATTCTCCTTCAAGTTGGCATGGTACCCACCAGATATTTATCAGTTACTGGTAAATATAGTAATAATGAATACATAATTTTCAGCAGTTAATACAGAAATTTATTTTACTTGGTCAGTTTGTTTTTACTTTAAATGAGTTAGTTGCTTTCTTTCTTTTTCCTTCCTTCCTTCTTTCTTTCCTTTCTCCTTCCTTCCTTCCTTCCTTCCTTCCTTCCTTCCTTCCTTCCTTCC